GGAAGTGTTAGCATTTTGTTAGGTGCTAAGAAGATGAGTAAAATCATATATAGTTCCTGCCCTAAGAAACTTTTAGCTTAGAGGGAGAAGAGGCAGCTATCGATGACAAAATAATAAACATAAAAATACAATTGAAAAGAAGATACTGGCTAGAAAGTGTAAATAAAACACTTCAACTAGGTTTGAGGGATGCAAATAGTTTTCACTAAAGTAATGAAATTTGATTTGAGATCTTAAGAATGATTAGCCAGGTAAAAAGGATAAAGTGGGAAAGTAGAGTGAGGTTTTGCAGAGCTTCATAAGGAAGACATTCTGGGCAGTGAAGACAGCATGTGCAAAGGCCCTGTTGGACAATAGAACATGAATTGTTCAAAGAACTGAAAGAAGTCACCTTAGCTAGATGTCTGAGCAAGGTTGAGAAGGCTGTGATGTGAGTATGCAGATGACAAAGAAACAAATGAGGTAGAAACTTGTAGCCCACAAGAAAAGGTTTCAGTCTTTTTTCTGAGGACAATGAGAAATCCCTGAAAGTTTTAAATGACAGTGACATGATTAGATTTGCATTTTGAAAAGATCACTCTGGATGAAAAACCGTTGGGGATAAAAAGACATTTGAAATCTATTGCACTCAGTACACGCTTGACAGAAATTGTTACAAGCATTTGATTGCTCTCTTCGTTGTTCTTACGATCTCTCTCCAACATCCTTCTCTATACTAACACAATTCCATTACTTCCTTCAGGATCTCGTTAAATATATTCACCATATTTACTTTTAAATTTACAACTCGTATTCATCATGTTCCCACTTCAAATGATTTCTGCATTTGCAAGACACGTACAATGTGATAAAATTAATTTAATTCTCTGCTTTATATATTATTTTCTCAAAGCAAACTTTGCTTCTTAAAGACAAGGGTGTGCATACAAGTTTTAGAACAGAAATGATTATTCCAGATAAATTATTTTTCAGTGCTTGGTTCCTCCTACTATCAACAGCTGACTTCTCAAGTTCATAAACTGTATCTTTTACAAGCATTGTAACAGTAAAATAATCTGAATATAAAGAAAGACATTGCAAATGTTTATTTATAGCAGATGTGTAATCAGCCAATGTAATCAGTAGATACGTAAAATTGGCACTGTCTAGTCTTAGTCTCTAACCTTTGCATAACATTTTGTGTAAAAGGACACTTCGTGTGTGACTACTTATAAAAACTGTCTCAAGCATTTAAAAAGTTTTTATCTTGTATATAATGTTTTTGAGGAAAAAAGTTCTAATAATTATACTTAAATTAAAAAAATGCAATAAATATTTCTAATATTAACAAACAGAATCCAAATTCAATTAAATATTAAGAGGATATGTTAAATTTCACCTGCTTATATTTAAATAGCATTAAAATCAATTAAATAACCAAATATAGACATACATTTTCATGAGGATTTTTACATTATAGAAATTGTAATTTAAAAAATATTCTGAATAATTTAATAGGTAGATTCTGACTTTTTATGAATTTCTAAATAATGTGAGTCAAAATGCAATTTTTTTTCACACAGGGTTTAGCAGTTTTCTATTTCATATCAAAGACAGGAAGCCAAGAATAAAAAGGGATACTCTCTTTCTACCATGGTACAAAAGATGTGCCAAAACAACTGTAAATGTGTAAGAAAGTAAATTAAATTATGGCCAGAGCTTTAAAAAATCTCATTAGCAGGCTTAATTTTTTCTGGTACTACTCATGTTTAATTTTTAATCTCTTAATTATATATACACATTTTAAACATGTAGTAAATAAAAGTTGTTCCTTTTCAGAAAATGATATACAAATTTGCATTATTCGACATCAAATAAGATAATACAGGTAAAGTATTAATTCAGTGCATGATCTAATCAATATTAATTTCCTTCTCACTCTTAAGGAGAAGCTTAGATATATTGCGGTACCTGATGCTAACAATAATTTCATATAGTAATGGCCTATTATTTCATCCATAAAAATGTGCTTCCTATTAAGGACTTGCTGGGGTTTGTTGGGGCCGCAGAGTAGAAAGGGTTTAATTGGGAATCAAAAAAGTGAAGAAGAAAGTGATTAATTTACTTGAACCCAAGATTTTTCCAAATCATCAAAAACAAAGGTACAGTACTTAAAGCTAGAAATGTATATACATCCTAGAAACTAACGGTCTTTGGGACCTGATGGAGGAACTAAGTTCTATGGGGATCACTTGGAAGACACGTAGTTGTCTATGGGAAGACATATGCTTCTATGGGAAGACAACTGGCAGGAAAACCTGAGTTTCTAGCAACACAGTTTTTAATAAGGTGGATATATTCAGGCACTTGACCTGAAAAGCAAAGTTGTTAGTTAAATAGTAATGTACTTGCTTTGTATGAAAAGCCATTCAGCCTGGACAGAAGTAGTGAAAGATTAGATTTGAACTAAAGATTAGATTTGAAACCAAGTCTCAGACTTGGTTTCAGGCACAAAGTGTGATTATAGGTGATTAGGATATATGCTCTAAAGATTTACCAGAGGAAAAAACTAAGAGAAGATCCAAGAGGAATGGCTGAGAATGAGAAATGGTATCTTAGAAGAAGCACAATTTAACTTTGTGCTTCTCAAAGCAAAGCAATTTGGTGTCATCAATTTTTTCCTTGGGTTTGTGCAGGTAAGGCACTACATTTTTAGTGTGGATATTTATCTGTGTCCATTGCATTCTTCTCAAAAATACAGCAATCAACTGAGTAGTGACAGGAAACAGAACTCCAGAAAATTAGCTGTAGCTTGTTAAAAAGTGAATCAGACTTTTAATTGATCGTAAACTGATAATTGATTTTTTAAAACAATAAAAATAATTAAATGTGTTTCATCAAGTATTTGTTAGTTTCATAACAATCAGGATACAGATAGTAAATAGAGCTTTCCTTGCAATCTGCTGGGATATGGCCCTGAAATAAGACTTTCAACTTAAAAAGGAAAACAAAAATGTCAAAAAATTCCCATGTCAAAGTAAGCAAGCAGAATTTAGACACTGTGAAAAAAAGAAAAGACAAGTAGAAAATATATCAATGCCTTTGAAAAGCACTTCCTTTCTTTACAATATAAAAGGTTGGATGGGACCAATGTAAATAAAAATTATATTTCTATCTGATAGTGATTTTTTTTGTAGTTCAATAGCTGGCACTTAGGCGAAACAACATTTGCTTTTTTCTTTCAAGATTATCACCTCTGACTTCTGTATTTTAATAAATTCCATACCTTCCCAAATAGTATTAATTGTGTTATATTATTTGATAATATTCACAATATTGTTAACACTCTTCTAGCTTGGTTTCTCTGTACATTGAGCTTGCTGCTTTTGTATATTTCTTCAGCTTTATCATGTTTGTGGTCATGACACAGGTAAGATAATAAATTATACTATGTAATCCAGATGCTAATAAGGGCTTTGAAAAAACACAGAGTAATAGAATAGACACCAAAGGAAGGAAGAAGATGACTATTCTATCTTAGATAGGCTGGTCAGTAAACACCTTTCATTGGAAGTAAATTTTGAGCATAGTGTATTCAATAAAGCAGGGAGCAAATAATTAGCAAAGACCTGTCATCTGAGCAGAGGGAATAGCAAATAACAAGCCTCTGAAGTAGGAACAATCTTGGAATGTTTGAGGCATTATCAAGGCAGCCAGAATTACTAGAGTGATTCAAGAAGGTGGAGGGAACAAGGAGATAGAATTTAAGACATGGCAGTGCACGGCATTGTAAGTATGGTATAGAATGTGAATCTTATTCTGTATGAGAAAGGCATTAGGGGTTTAAAAGCAGGTTAAGGACGTAATCTGATCTATGTTTTTAAAAGACACTCTAGCAAGAGTAAAAAGAAGCAGACAAACTAGAAAGTTATTTCAGTGCCCCTGAGATACAATTGTGGTCTCTATGAGGTGGCCTTCAGCACAGATTTAAAAGGAGATTGGGTTTGGAATATATTTGCAATATATTGACACATGAACTTGATAATGGATTATATTTGGAGTGTGTGTGTGAGGGGGAGTTAAGAATCAAAGCTGTTTTTTCTTTGAAAAACTGGATAAAATGGGGGTTCCCTTTATTATAATGAAAAAGCTTGGGAACGGAACAGGTTGAGGGTGTGGGAAATCATGGATTTTTTTCTGGGCATATGAAGCTGAAATGCCTTTTGAGTATCCATGAGAAGATGATGTACAATGAATTTGATATATGAATCTAGACAGAATAAGAAATATAAATTGAGGAATCATTAATGTATTAATTGTAATTTTTTCCTAAGATAGAAAAACATCTAAATAATTATCTAAATTTTATTTTTAAATCACACACTGATTAGAAAATATTTTTCCCAAGTCTTTTAATTTTGAGACTGCAATGTTTTTTTTCTTTGAAATAAACAATACTATTTCTTGAACATCAGACAGAAATATGATTATTCATGATTATATAAACATAATATACAAAATTCTTAACTAAATATTTTAAAATGTGAATTATATTCTTTTTTCAGTTCTAAAAATTTCTTTCTTTTGCTATTTTCTAATCCCTCTTCCCACTCCCCAAAAAAGAAATGAGGAAAATGCATCAGACACTCCAATCAAATGCTCTAAGTATAACAAACACAGTTATTTTTTGCATAGGATAGTGTTTCTTGGAAGACTGATGCTATGTCAATTGAAATAAAGTTAAACATGATATATATTTGTTATTTGCCTGGCTCTGTTAGGATTGGTGGAGGTAATAAGTATTATAAAGTAGTCTTGATCTCAAGTTTATAAATTTGTAGAGAAAATAAGATACCTATATATAAAACAATATGAGGACAAAAAATATAAATTATAAATATACAAGCACTCTAACTGGTTAAAGAAGAGATAGAACCAACAGTGGTGCTGGCTTTTGAGAAATAAAACAATTTCCAGATATATGAACAGTAGCATGAGACCCATGTTTGGGCCTGACTTACCAAGTGGTTGGCCTGCGATGACTCTGGCATTTTCTCCAGCCACTGCAGCTCTTGCATGTCGCTCACTCATGTACTGCACAAATGCATACCCTTTGTGAACAGAGCATCCAACTATTTTTCCATACTTTGAAAAAATGGCTTCAATGTCAACTTTCTTGACAATTGCCGTATTTAGATTGCCAATGAAAACACGGGAGTTGATGGACTTGGGGTCATTCTTATTGGTGACATTGCTGGTCTGTGTTTTGCCAGTCATGATTGGCTCTCCTTGTTTTAATCCTTAAACAAACAAACAAAACAAACAATCAAAAGGTAAATCATTAGATTGAATGGGTATCACTGGCTTTTTAACAGTTTTTCAATATTACACTCAGGAAACCTCCAATCCCTAAGTATTACTGATTTTCTTGAGAAGAAAATTAATGTATTTAGTAATATAAAAGGTAAACATTGCATTGCTAAATACAGTAGAAAAAGCTTACAATTACTTAACATATAGTTATAAAAATTCTTGATTTGTTTATTCAAAATTCAACTCTGAATAATGACTGAACATTTTGCAGTTGCTTTTACATTGTCTATTTTATAAAAGAAAATTTGAGAAAAATCTTCCTTTTCTTATCAACAATAACAAAAAATCCAATATGGCTAAGGTCTGATGACAGATGGAATATAGAAATGTAACTTCCATTTTCAGATGTTTGAGTACATGCATTATTATTTCTACATTTCTATAACATGAAGACATATTATCTATTTCAATATCAGAACCCTTCTATCGGAAACTAACAAATCGTTTCATTAAAGGCTGTGGAATAGAAAAAAAAATGGTGTTAGAAATTTGATTAAGACACATAACATAAGAAAACCAGAATTTTAAAAATAAAAGACTTAGCCAGAATTATATTATATATGCTATTTATTTGAACCAATATCACTATCACATGTCAGTTTCATAAAATCACAAAACAAAACATATGAGCCAGTGTTTATCAATGATCAGCAAATTAGTAGATTAGGTAACTTGAAATTTTATTCTTAACCTCATTTTCTAATTTCCTTAACTAAAGCCTCCTATGTTACCTAACGATTGCTAGTATTTTAAAAAATCATTTTGTGAGCTTGGAAGAATATTTGTGCTTAATTAAACTCAATAAAACTTTTATTTCTAAGTATTCCAGCACATACAAATTTATTTTAAGGCCTTGAAAATCCCTCCTTCCTTCCCTCCCCTACCCCTGATCTCCCTTCTTCCCTTCCTGCCTTTCCCTCTTTCACAACATTTAGTCCCAACCGATTTTTGGTTATGCATTATCTATAGTACCTGTTAATTTATAGATACTATTATGGCTAAACTAAAATTTCAACAAGGTTACATTTTCGGACATTGATGATCATTGTTGAACATTAGATAATTGATACCGTTTGTCAATGAAAACTATACTTTTATATGAAGGCTCTCTTAAAATATGGCTATAAAAATAAGTGCATCTGATTTTTAAGAATCATTTAAAATGACATTTCTAAATTAAGCATTAAGGTGGTGGAAGTCTTTAAGGCATGTAAATTGGATATGCTTAAAAATGTACTTATTATGCATTTAAAGCAGATACTCCTGAAATCAAGAGCAACCAAGTAACATAAAATGTTTCAAATTAAGTTGCTCAACATTACATCTGGCATTTTTAAAGCTTTACTTCATATTGCACAGTCAACATTATAAATATTTCCTTATAATGGTCAGCTTCAAAAATAAAACATTTAGTTATTTACATAAAAATTAAGAGTAAGACATCATTAGAAACAAAGATTATAACACTGCCTTGTATTGATTCAGATTAGCTACCTTTAAGTGCTTCCTTTATGAATTATTCAGAATAGTGCTGAAGAAAGAAAAGTTGATATATATATATTTTTAAATATTGCAATTCAAGCTATTGCATTTCTCAAGACAAATGCTCTGAGAATTAATTGAAACAAGAAAAATCAAGGTTGGTAATCTAGAGTCAGTTTCCTTTCTTACCATTCTAGGCCAACATCAGTAATACAATTCATAGAAAGCACACTATTTTGTTTGTGCTCTCATGTGGTACATATTTTTATAAACACCATACAGTTGTTTTCAAGGGTGAACAATTCTTATAGTTGACATTTTATTTCCTGGACAGAAATACACTGATTAAAATGCAAACACAGGAATTGTTAGATTAGATTAGACCGGTGGTTTACAGAGCCCAGTGGTCTGCATTGATAGTAGCACTTGGTCAAATTTAAGTTGAGGGTGCAGCTGTACTCTGATTCCTCATCGTGAATGTCAACATGCTATCTTTCATTCATATCATTCACTCTATGTGGATGAAACTCATACCTGTACCTCCACACTGACAATGTGTAATTCTAATTAATAATTCTTACTTACAGTAAAAATCTACACATATCTAGGTATCTAATTTTTTTTCACAAACACTGACTTGGCAGTTTCCATCATTGTTTACAAGAGTAAGTTTTGTTGTAGTATTGTATTCTGTCATTCCAACGTTCTCTAAAAGTTAGGCAATAATTCATAGTTTAATAGCTTTTCTATTACATAAATTTTTAAATCAGTTGAAGAAAGACTTCCACTTTCAGCCATGATAGAGTAACAGTGACTAAATTAACCCTCCTGACTCAAAGAAATAGAAAATTAGGGAAATATGGATGAAGCAACTGTTTTTCAGACATTAAACCACAGGCGATGCAGATCTATCACATCTGAGAAAGAAGAGACAAAGAAAGTAAAATGTAGGAGAGCTGAGATTTCTACCTGGAAAACATATTTCAAGTCTAGAGCAGTCAGTGGGATGGGGAGGATATTGCAAACTGAGACTGTGATCCTATTAAGTTGAGGAGATACAGATCAGAGTTGAGAGCATCTGGGGCAGTTAGAATTGGTGTGACAGGTTTCTCAAGACAAGAGAGCTATGCAGAAAAAAACTCTAGAAATCTGCTTTAAAGTCCTTTGAACCTATGCTGATTTCTAAGTCATGTATGCAAAGAATACAATTTCATGAGGCTGGGCAAAAAGTTATTGCAAAGCTGCGAAGTGAATGATTCCAAGAACTGCAATAGGCCAAGAAACATACAAGTTCCTACCAGCAACAGTGGAAAGTCAAAATTCACTAACCAGAGAATTAAATTTAGGTATCAGAAGGTTAGGCCTTAGTAATGGGTATTAACGATTACTATAGGTAAAGGAATTTTGTGTCTACCTAAGTAAAACTTGAAAACAAGGCTTAAGATGATCAAACTAAACCAGAACAACCCAAATATCTATGAAAGAAAAGTATAACACTTTTCTAAAAACAGTAACAAGACCAACCATGGTGATTCACACCTTTAATCCCAGCACTTTGGGAGGCCAAGGGAGGCAGAGGGCTTGCAGTCAGGAGTTTGAGACCAGCCTGGCCAACATGGTGAAACCCCATCTCTACTAAAAATAAAAAAAAATAAAAAATTGCCAGGCATAGTGGTGCACACCTGTAATCTAAGCTATTGGAAAGATGAGGCAGGAGAATCTCTTGAAGTTGGGAGGTGGAGGTTGCAGTCAGTCAAGAGGAAAAAAAAAATAGAACTCAGGCATTCAATCACATAAAATACACTATTTCCCCCATCCAATCAAAAATTCCTACAGATCTTAATGAATCAAAGTATGACCTATGACTAGAAGAGAAATTAAATATATAAAAAAATGAAACTTTTAAAGATACAAACTATAATATCTAAAATTTTAAAAAATCAATGAATGGTGATAAACAAATTTGTGAATTTGAAGTTGAAGAAATAGAGAATATGTAAAACATAGTATAGAGATAAAACACTGAAAATACAAAGAGCCTCAGTGAGTTGATATTTAACACTGTCAAGCTGTTAAACATATATAAATCTGGAGTCCCAGAGGAGCTAGTAGAAAAATATTCAAGAAACTTAATGGTCAAAATATTCCAAATTTAATAAAAATGATAATCCCAGGGATCCAAGAATATCAATAAACCTCAAGCAGAAAATATATATCTCCACACCAGACACATAATAATAAAATTACTGAAAACCAGTGATAAAAATTAAGGAGCTATCAGGCATTGGAAAAAAACATTTTGACACAAAAAGGGTTTATAACAGTTAAATGTCACAACTAAAAAACAAATGACAAGGGAAAATGAATTTTTCAGTGCACACAAACTGTCTCTTTGTTTTTAATTTAGAAGTTTGGATGGAGCTCATGTAAAGTGTCTCTCTATGAAAGCTGCTATAAAATAAAAGACAAACTGTAAACTACTGTTGCTGTTGTTCCAAAGAATTTTCTATGATGATGGAAAACTTTCCATGTCTACAATATCCAAAAATTTAGTCAATAACCACATGTGACTTTTGAAGTCTTAAATCTGGCCAGTACAATTAAGAAACTGCATTTTTAACTTTACTTAATTAAAATTGAGGCCATGGTTTAATGAATTGCTCTACCCCAAAAGGCTAACAGGGCTCTTGCCTTCCAAACATGTAGAATAAAAGTAAATCAGAAATAAATCTGGCTATTTATGTTTCATTCAAATCTAAAGAATGAGTATGGTTTTGGTCCTGAAAACTTACAAAAGATATGATAGTGTCAGCTCTATTTCCAAAGAATAAAAAGTTCAAGTATCTGCCATATGATAACTAATTTAAAAGATTAAGGGTTTTTATTCTGGAAATATCAGACTGAGGTTGTAAATGTTCTCTAAAATTATAAAGAATGTGATCAGAATAGCCTTTTAATTTGTATTTGAGATTTTTATGTTTGAATTTATATATGATACATTTACTATAAATTAAAGGCAGCTCAAAAATGTGCTTTAGAGAAAATAATTTTTAGTAAAGTCACCAACCAGTAAACTCTACCATTCTGCTGTTTTAGTGGTCTTTAATTTCCATCTAAATTTTAAAGTTACTTAGACATTTATTTTGAAAAAATAATTAAAAAATCAACAACAGGAATAACAGAAAACACCCAGGTGAAATGGTTTGGCTCTGTGTCCCCACCCAAATCTCACCTTGAATTGTAATAATCCCTGTGCATTGTGGGAAGGACCCAGTAAGAGGTAACTGAATCATGGGGGTGGGTTTTTTTTCCATGCTGTTCTCATGAGAGTGAATAAGTCTCATAAGATCTGATGGTTTTAGTTCCCCTGCACATACCTTGCTTCCTGCTGCCATGTAAGATGTGCCTTAGCTCTTCCTTCACCTTACACCATCATTGTAAGGCC